AGCTCCTATAGCAAACAGCGGCCCCTGCCCCATCCCTTCCCACCCAGAGGCATGCTGAAGTTGCATGAGAACCTGTTGTTGCTCGACAGAACCCCTTGTGCTCCCCATAGCCCACCCTCCAGGAGCTCCACGGGAAGAATGACACAGGTCAAAGATGCGAGCCCATGACTGTCTGAAAACACCCCCGTCTACCCTGACATCTGATGGGATGAGGAATTCCGGCAGGGTGAGGAAGTACAATGCTACTGCATTGCGACTGTGTCACATGTGACCTGTTTTCTCTCTGCAAGTTTTTTCTTCTCTTTAACCCTGAAATTATTAGATGTCACAATGATGTGGCTCAGTGTGGGCCACTGTCACTCCTATGGCTGGTTATTTGTTGGGCCTCTAATATTGGAAACTCATCCATCTGTTCTGGGCACTTTCTTTCTCCTGTTTGCGCTGTCCACTGCCCTAGTCACATGTGGGACTCTTGAATCTATCCTTCAGTTTTCTTATCTAGTCTCTATGACTGCTCTCTGTGTTAGAAGAGGGGGCCAATGATCTTTCTGGAAGATTTCCTCAGAATTATCTATACTATCAAACTTAATTCAGCAGCCAGAGTTTTAATTTATTATTTTCTGTTCTGTAATTTTTTTTTTTATTCTATATAGTAACTTGTTCTTATTTTGAAGATGCAGTATCACCTCTTACCTGGGGGTTACAGTTCTAGGCTTTTTGTTTGAGTTTGGTTTTTAGCTTTTCCAGAGCAATGTTTCTACTGGCTGTTTGGTCTCTCACTCACATGAAACTCCTCCAAGGTCTAGATGTGCACGGTTGAAGTTTCATGGGTGCCGGTACACAAGTAGGCATCCCTGCAGGGGACTAGACAGTACATAGTCATATTGCTGGGGCCAAATTCTCAATGCTCCTTGGTCTCTACTCACACTGGCTTTTCCGGTTTCTCTGGATCATACCCTAGGCCACCACCATTGTGAGGAGGAGGCTGAAGGAACTGAGCATTTCAGGACGGAGACTCCCCATGCTCCTCTGTCTTCCGTACAGTGCCTGGTGTCCATTCCTCGTGCCCCTGGGCACAGGTTTTTTTTTTCTGGTCACAGGTCCTCGTGTGTCAGCCCTGGTTTCTGCTGGGTTGACAGTAGCTGGGATATGGCTCAGAGGGATAAGGTAAATCTGAGTCTAACCAGTTTTCAGGCAGACCTTCAAGCAACTACGCTGTGTGTCACCCTGTCCTCTGCTTCCAAAGTACTCAGTACTGCAGATCCTGAACCATTCTGGGGCTCTGTGGCAGAAGTCCACTCAAACCTCAGCTCCCCCACTGCTAGGTTCAGCTTCTCCTGTCTGCTTGGTAGTCAGTATTGCTTCAGACATTTTTCAGCTTCCGAACTTGCCTGCTCTTCCGTCCTCCTTTCTTTTTGTTTTTGGAGATTTAGGAGGATTTCCAAGCAGGCTCCTGTTCAATGCCTGTCTGAATCTTCTTCTGCACCGATAACAGAAATACCTCAGCCTGGGTAATTTGATAAAGGAGACTGAGATCTATTAACAAACTCCTGATTCTGGTGGCTAGAAAGGCCTACAGCATGGCCGACAGAAGTACAGAGGATAGCAGGGGCATGGCAACCAGCTCTCACAAGAACTAACCTCTTCTCACGAGATCTAGAACTCACTGGGTGTCGTGAGACATCACCAATCTATTCACGAGTGTTACTTCCATGATGCAGTCACCACTCACTAGATCCCACCACCTTCCAACACTAAATCCCGATGATCTGGGCCATAATGATGCCCCTTTAGTGAACGCCTGAGAAATGAGCAGGGCTTCCCAGGAAGACAGGAGGAAATGACATCCATCAGTGGCAAGGACTAGTCATTAGCTTTCCCAGACCATCTGTTCCAGCTTCACCAGCCTCTGCTGATCGACGTGACAGGCCCGACTATAAAAAGCATGCGACAATCTTCACTTGCCTGAACTTGTGCATCTCTTAAGTTCAATTAAAAAGTAAATAAAGAAGCTCAGGACCAGCAGTTAGCATAATGGCTATGTCACTGGACTCCCATGTAGTCAAACATGGTTCGCGTCCCAGACCCAGTGGCTTAAACTCATGCCGGGCACGTGTGCGTGCGTGCCCAAGATCCTGAGAGGAGAAGGGATTGTGGTGTGGCCATCCCCCGTGGGATGATTTCTCGCTTTCTGTCTCTCTGTCTCTCTCTGTCTGTCTGGCGAGCACACGCACCCTACAGAGAACACATCTCCAGAAAAAAAAAGGTAAATAAAGAAGCTCAAGTTCAAGACACCGACTTGGTGTAGAAGTTGGTCAGCCTCAAAAAGCACACACCTGGCCAGTCTGATCTTGAAACCACAGATCAAATCGTCCACACCAGGTAGCCTCTTCATCTACTGCCCTACAAAAGGCAGCCTCAGGCTCCTCTAGATCTAGGATGCAACAGGCAGGATGGGGCAAACCATCTCCCTCTTCAGGATGAAGCAAACCAGTCCACCCACCATCCACCTGATACGGGCTCAAGGCCGGCATGTCTTTTGGCCCAGAGCCTGTACTCAGCACGTTTGCTGGGGACACATAGAGCATGCACTCATAGGCCAGCCTCTCTGGGTCCTGCCCCATTACTCCTCCCTTCATTTAGGGAGCTCTGGCCCCTACTCCTTGGCTCTTCTACCAACAGGTCACTGATGAGACTCCCAGAGGTGGAACACAGCAGAAAGAGT